CCACATTTTCAATAATTAGGTGAAATATAGTCTTTGTCATAATAAAAGAGCTTTTAACTGAAAATTATTTTATTCTGATTCAATTTTTAAATTTTATTGAATTCAAATTAAAACCCCAAATTTAGTTTCCCAATCATACTGACCACATTCAAGTGTTCAAATGCCACATGTGGCTAGAGGCCACTGTATGGGACAGGGCCCACATGGACACTCAGAATCTTAAGATCAAAAGTGATGCAGCCTGATTTACACTTTAAAAGTTCACTCAAGGTGTTGTGTAGACAATGAATTAGACCAGGTAAAAATAGATGATGGAAAGGATTTGGAAAGGTACTGCAGAAGTCCATGCAAGAGTTGGTGATGAAAACAAATGAAGAAAGAGATATGAATGATATTTAAGAAGGAGACTTCCAGTTGTACAGTGGAGTGCTATTATGAATTAGACCTATTTTTTTTACTGTAAACAACCAAAAACTCTGAATAAAACATAAAAATATCTAAAAGACATCTAAGATCTGTGATAACAGCAAGGAACTACCAGACAGAACTACCAGACAGAAACATAGACTCAGTGAACAACCACTTTGTCCAATCCTGACACAATGTGGCTTGGTTTTAGTGGCTTCTCTGTATAATGGGGCCAGAAACAAGGACTTGGGCCCAGCCATGGTGACAAATTTCACATGAGAGACTTTTCATACTAAGCTGAGAGCTCCAGATGCCAGGATCCTCAAGTTCAGTAAGAAACACAACCTCCTGCCTCACTCCTGCTTGCCCCAGGAGACAAAACGAGAATTACCTTGGTACCGAGTCAAACAAGATTTTTTTTTTTTTTAAAAAGGTCCCTGCAAAGTTGTAACCACAGTTTACTTGGTTTAACCCCAATGCAACTTCGTGATTGGTATATGGGTCCTTGTTTGCCAGATTTGAATCAAGGTGGTTCAGGATTTTAGTGTTCCCAAGAATCAGGAAGAACTAAATGCAAATGCTTCCTTATTCCAGTCTCAAAACACTGCTTGCAAATATTGTTTCATGGATAATCAGCATTGCATAGTGAAAAAGAAAAAAATCAACACGCAAGAAAAGATGATGACCAACTGACAGAACCCACTGGGGGAAAAAAGAAAAGAAAAGAAAAGAAAAGAAACAAGACGCAAACAGCAACCACCAAAGACATTAGATGCACACAGAGAAGCTCTGAGAAGCAATCAGGGGGAAAGATGGAATGAAAGCTATGTCTCAACAGTGATGAAGGAAACCTGAAGATGCTGTAATGATATATTTAACATCTGAAAGAATATAACTGCTAACAAAACTATTTTTCAGATAAAAAAAATCAGGTGAATTTTAGATGGAAGAATTTACCTAGCTAGGCGCAGGGGTGCACACCTGAAATCTCAGCAGCTGAGGCAGGATTATCACAAGTTCAAAGCCAACCTCAGCAATTTAGTGAGGCCCTAAGCACTTAGTGAGACCCTGTGTCTAAATAAAAATGTAAAAAAGGGTTGGGGATGTGGTTCAGTGGTTGAATGCCCCTGGGTTCAATCCCCAGGAACAAACAAATAATAAATACGTAAGAGTTTAGCCATAGCAGCTGCTCACTAGAGGAAATCCTAAGAGATGTGCTTCAGATGAAATAAATATGTGTAAAGAGTGACAAGCAAGCTGGGGAGGTGACACATACCCCTGTGCCCAGCTACTTAGGAGACTGAGTCCCAGCCTGGGCAATTTAGCAACACCTGATCTCAAAATGAAATTTAAAAGGTCTGGAGATGTAGGTTAGTGGTTGAGCGCTTGCCCCTGGACTCAACCCCCAGCAACAAAACGAGTGAAGATTTTAAAAGTTTGTAAATAAATAAGCAAATCAAAGTAAATTATAACCATACAAAATCATAATAATTATTGTAGATTTTTATGTAGTTTTGATGTATGATATGTAATTTAAGTTTTCATGTCACTAAGAAGTCTTCTCTAAAGCTGATAAAAATCTTCAATATTTTGTGAGCACTTTGCGTATACAGATGTCTATTTTCAGACTTAACCCATAAACATGATAAAATTGGACTTAAGGTAAATAAACATTGAAATTAAGTTGGGGTTCAATGGCTTTGATATATTCTAATTACTGTGTGTAACTGACTCATGAGTGAAGACAGACATTAGAAGTGTTAATATGATTTTATCATTATATAGAATTTAACATAGAAGAATTCCAGTGTTAATTATTTTCCAATTAGATTCAGACAAAATGAGTTCACAAATTAAATCAGAACATTCCTTTGAAAAAACTAAGTGAACATTCAGAAGAGAATGAATAGAAGTTCACATGACAGTTTAGCTCCAATTTACTTAGAAAATATAATTTAATAGCACATACTAAGTTGTTAGAAGGAAACATCCTGCCTCCACATCAGTGTTTAGAGAAAATTTCTTAAAGCTGCCCATGGATTAAGGAGGAGTCAGAAATTTGGTTGACTCAGAAGAAAATAAAGGCAATTTTTTTTTCATGGCTCTTTGGAGAGATATGTATCATTTAGCTTTTCCAAGAAAAAAAATTAACTCTTAGAGAATGAGAACTATCAGTAAACATGGCAAATATTATGTCTGTAAACAATTCAAGTGCTTGAAAATCTGAAGATATTTTATCTTTCTGATGGATTGCAGAGCTCACACCTGGTTGAACACTGTGTAAGCCACCAATTCAAATGAAGAGCTAGACATAGACCCTGCAAGAGTCACAATATTGACATGAGTAAGTGAAGGCAAGTTAAGATGAATATGATAATTTTAGCACTGTGATGGCCTCTTATGGGGAGGCAGAGAATGAAAACAGAGTAGTCTCGTTTTATAGTCAGTAGTAAGCACTGTGTCAATCTCTGTAAAGATGGACAGAGACCCAGTGAACTGGGATGCATAGCATGGTAGTTCTCTAAAGTACCAACTAAAGTCTAGAAAGAGCATTTTCTACTCTGCCTTAAGTATGAACAGGCTACATGCCTGGAAAGGGTGTATTTATGAAGGAAAGAAGAAGCATATCTGACACTTCCTACATTTGGGCTCTGAAAGAAGTAGTTGTTGAGGTAAGTTCCACTTTGGGGATTGAAAGCCAGGAGATGTTCAGCCCAGCTCTATTATGCAGATTGCAATTCTGATTTCAGAATAACAAGCTGCGACTCTCTACCTACTGGCATTATATTCTGTTGGTCTGGTTTCTGCCCAGGACAAGGTGGGGATGGCTTGTCTCTGCTTCACAGTGTCTGGGGACTCTGTTGGGAAGACCTGAGGACTGAGGATAACTTGATATTGGAGCCTAGAATCCTTGAAAGGTTCATTCACTCCTGTGCCGGGTGCCTTCTGAAACACCTCTCTGTGTGGTTTTTCTCCTCCTGCAGCATGGTGCCCTCAGGGGCACTGGACTTTTTACATGGTGTCTCCAGGTACAAGACAGAAGATGCCTCACCTTCTCTAGCCTGGAGCTAGAGAAGTCATCAGGAGCTGTTCTCTCAACTGCATTCTATTGATCAAGACGAGGCACACACACTCCTCTCTGGAGGAGAGGAGTTTCAGGTCACGTTGATGAGGAGCTCATGGAAGGACATGGGAGAATGTTGTGGCCATCTTTGGAAAATACAGATATGTTCACTATTTCTCCATAGAGGTAGACATGAGTGGTAGTAAAATCTTTAAAACAAACATGACTGCGTGGGAAAATTTGTCTTTGGGGAAAACAAGAAGGTTATCCCTGGTACCATCCCAGACCATCAGACCTACTGCAGAAGATGATTATGACAGCAGAAGAGGTTGCTCTAGACTTAGGAAGTGACTAGAAAACCTCGGTCGGACATTAGGTGAGTCCCCTTACTGCTCCATTCACTGTAACCTGTGCAGAGACTCTCATAGCCCCTCAAAACTACTCCTGGTACTCATCAATAAGATCCAAAGTCACCTGCACTGTGTCTGGTTATAGTCCCATCCTGAATAACGATCTCAAGTTGTCTTGGTGACACAAAACTCTATCTCACTACCTAGGGGAACTTGTCTGGCAATATACCTATTGACCATGAGGATGTTAAGGGTAAGACAAGGAAATGGGGGAAAAAAAATGAAAATAGAAAGTGTGTAACAGAGAAGTTGATTGTAAATAATACATAATCCGGTGATTAGGGGTAGACTTCTACTAGTGCAGAGCATCCAGATGATTAACAAATTTATTTAACTAATGTAAGGTGCAAATCTCAGCACCACCTTCTCCCTTCTCCTATCAGGTTTCCTCTGAACACTCTTTTTCCCAGAATCTCTCAGGGAAACAGGATCCAGGGAAAGATACTTAGCCTCTACTTTTCTCGTGCTAATGGATCACACCCTTCTCCCAAACCTTCCTTAAACACTCACCAGTCATGATTTTTAGATTTCTCTGGTAGAGGAAGTTAAAGAGCCTGCCAGACATTGGACATGGAATGTAGTAAACAGAATAAGATGTAACTCAGGAGGGACAAGCCACTTAACTAGCCACAATTCATTACAATTCATACTTGTACTAGACACAGAGGCCTTAAGCCAGAGTCAGTCATCTCAGATACCAACAGAGAGAAAAGAATCCAAAGGAAGAATATAAAGAAAAACTCCGTCATCACAATCCTGCCTTGCAGCCGCCAAACATGGCTGGAGACAGCACACAAGACCAATATTACAGGGTTGGCCCATTCCCTCTTCCCAAGCTTCCTACAAGACCAAAAATATATCTGGCCTCTGAAGAGAGGAAATTATGCTAATCCCAGGAAAATATAAAGAAGGGCAAAACTGTGAAAATGTCTCTCCAGACTCATTCTCTGTTAGAACAGCAAAATTAGGTCTATTTTAAAAGAAAGATAGTGCACCAGCGCCATCTTGTGGAAAGATCAGTCCTCACCTATTTTGGATGTGCCCAAACTCTAGGCCCTCTTTCCCACCTGCAGAGCCCTCAATCTCTTGGATCCTTCAGGAGCAAGGGGGCATTATACCATGCATTCGTCCTAAGGTTCTGGTCATGTCCTGGATGCAGAGCTTCAGTTGCTGCAGGGCCTCGAGCAGGGCATCCTGGCTGGGCTGCAGGACAGCATGCATTGCTTGAGCAAGTGCCTGGGGATGAGATTGCTTTGTTTGCCAGCATTCTCTTAAAGCCCACTGAGGTTCCATGGCTGGGGAACCCAGGGGCAGGCACCCCACAAACTGCTAGATTGTCACATCTTCCTGGGAGTATTCTTAAAATGAGATTTGCCGTGAAGTCTATTGGAAGCCAGAATCTTTCTGGCACCTTCCAGACAGAACCCTGGTTAGGTTTTTTCTGATTCTTTCTAGTGGCTGCTACTCCTTATACATCTTGAAGAGACTAAGCTCTATTATTTTTATCCCCTTTTCTTTTGGATTTATTACACATTATGTTCATTTCTACTATATTGCCAACTAGGGCATCCTAACTCCAAAGCTCTGTCTTTGATAAAAATCAGATTCTAAAGCTCCCCCAGCCTTTTCTGATACATGTAGGGTACCTGAAAAAAATTCAAACCTGCAATCCCAGGGCAAGGTCAACTTAATGCTGCCTTCTGGCACTAAATACCTAAAATACATTTCATTTAATTTTTCTCTGAGGCTATATAGCAATGTTTTTTGCCAGGAATATATTTGTATGTGCTCTTGATTCATATTCTCTCTCTCTCTCTCTCTCTCTCTCTCTCTCTCTCTCTCTCTCTCTCTCTCTGTCACCATTCAGGTGTTAACTTAGCTGTCATTTCTCTGGGGAGGCTTTGCCTGATCCTTTAACTCTAGACTTGTCTTTTCATGAAACATGACATTTTTTCTCCTTCTCACTCTATATTCATCCATCTCCCTCCACTAGATCCTGTGCTTCCATCAAGGCTGGAACAATTTCCATCTTGTTTGCCTTGATTTCCCATTGCTAGAGTGATGCATACAGAAATTATATACTCCAAGTTTTACAGCAGTTAAGCAAATGAAGCTAACTAGAGTTGAGACCTTTTCTTTCAGATTTGAACTAAGTAGGAAAATGTTAATATTCATCTACATTGAGAAATCTACTTCAGGGAAAGGAACTGATGTTGGAGAGAGTTATCTCAGACTAATTTCTCAAATTTAAAAGAAAAAAAAAGGTTATAAAGTGAGAAGATACCTTAATTCCAGGCACAGCTGCGTTCTCCACTAAAACAGTCACCAGTATGAAGCCACGCAGACTCTCTCCCCCAGGAAACAGGATGATGGTGTCCAGGTTACTTGGGAAGGAGATTGTCACATGGTTAAAAGGGTGGACACTGTGCTACAAATACTCAGTGCCATAGGTCTCCACCAAGTAGCCTACTACAGATAAGTCAGGAAAACATGCTTCTCACTCCTTAAGACAAACCTGAGGATGAGTATTTATCTTCAGCAGCATCATGGAGGAATGAGAATAATGCGTTCAAATCCAAATTCACCTTACCTGAGGACTCTCACTCAAAGTTAGCATGGCCCTGATGGTCCTGGACTATCAGTTCAGTGGAATGGCCAAGTGAAATATGGATAGGCAGTTCTTAGCTAAAGGTATAGCTGCTTCTTGAGGATCACATCATTGTTGTCCAAAGATGAGGAGTCTTCAAGCTGGGGTAACCATGCTCCTTTCTTACATATATAAAATTATGGCCCAGAGACACAAAATGGCTTGTTCAGGGTCAACATATAACTCCTATAGCACATAACCAGACCAGTGTTCCTTTTAATCTGGAACTAAATGCCATCCAATATACCAGGAGCTGTAAGACCATTACAGAGGAATACATATTTTTTAAAATGACCAGTTGTCCTTTAGATTGATTCAAATATCTCAGATGTCGATCCTGTCTAAAAAACCTACGAAGTTAACTCCAAAGAATCCTGTAACATAGATGTCTCTCACACCTTAAGTATAAGAACAGAGCAAAACAAACCAAATGAGAACAAAATAAAACTTAAGACAGGAATTGCATTATTCAACAGAGTTACATTAGCATGGGAATTGATATTTTCGCCTTTCACCCCCCCACACCTCCTGAACTACAGCTTTTATTCTTTTATTCTTTAATGGAGGCTGAGGTCTGAGGATGGGAGAAACAACAGTGGCTTCAGGGGTAGCTTTGCTTTTTAGGGAAAGTGGAGCCTAAGAATGTCTTGGCTATACCTGCCCCATGAGCTCTACTCCATATAATAATGAGATGTTTCAAAGAGATTCTTCTATAGGTGTAATCTGCCTATAATTTGATTTTCATAGAAGTTATTGTAAGACAGAAATATTTTTCAAAGCATTAGATTTCAAAGAGTCAAATACTTGGTGAGGTTATTTTTTTAAATCTGTTTCCTTCTATTGTACTTTACTTGCTTTATTGTGCATAGATTGGAAAATCAAGAAATAAAGAAAAGTAAGTTCCTCATTCTTACAAGGCAAAATCAACCATCTCCAACTTTTGGACTGTTAATTTTTGGCATTTTCCTTTCTATCTTTTTTATGCATACAAATAAATTAGTGCAATACAAATAAATTAGGTTGTTCATGTTCTATTATAAGCTTTAAAATTTAGCTTAGATTCTAGAGTAAAAGCTTTCTGACAACTTACCTAATTTCCATGGGTCTAGCCAAAGTTCAGTTATTGGAAACCACCAAGAGAAAGAAAAGAAGAAGAAATAATTGAGTTTGTAAACCAGATATAGCTTCCAGGGTCACAGGTACCCAGGCACACACACTCGTGAGACATATATTGACATACATCTTGCACATCATTGGCTATGCCTGGACTAGGAACCACTGTGTGGTTCCAGTGAACATATTGTTTGTGACACCCTTTGACATTTGTCATGCTCTGCTTTGTCTCATTATTTAGCCACTTTGGAAGCCCTTCACTACTATGCTTTTATTTATTATTCAAAGAACTTAGCTCTGTGCTAGGCATATTAAAAGACTTCAAGATGTACCAACAAGCATTTGTGAGGAAGCCCAGGACTGTGTCTGCTTATCTGGGGTTAAATAAGCCCAACACTCTCACTTTGTAGGACGCCAGCCTTCTCTTTTGTGTTTTGACTTTCCCAATCCAGGACTGCCATTTTTCCCTTTAATCTTCCTGTCTCCGCACTTTTTTCTGAATTGTAAATCCAGCTTATTCAATATCCAATGCATTGACAAGAATAATTCATGTGTGTTCATTCATTATCTCTTCCCACCCAAATTCTAAGCTAGATTTTGCTATTTTCAATGATCACCACTTCTGTTATTAAAGCATAATTGGTCAAAATTAAAATGTAATTATTCAACAAAACAAATTTCCAGATCTTAGAGGTCCTTAGAGACCTGAGATGACCCATTGATTCTTCTTCTAATGAGAATATAAATTAACCCTAAAAGCTAAGTTGTGCATTAAGTATTTACTCCTTTACAGTTGAGTCCCATCATCTCCTTTAGGAATCCTTGGCTACCTGCAACCATCGTGCTGAAGAAGTTCTTCCTCACATCCAACCTGAATGTTTCTTCAGATATTTTAATCTGTCACAAATGTAAGTGCTATATCTTGCATCTATAGCCAGAAATAAATTTGTCTGTGAAAATAAAAGCTCAATGGGAAATTTAATACTTCTCTCCCACTCATTTCTGACTACTGGATTTCTTACTTGTTACAAAATCATGCTATTTGTTCCACAGACAAAAGCTTTTTATTCCCAGCAGAATTATCAAAAAAGTGATATGTTAGGTAGAATTGATGACATTATTAATCAAATTATCAGTCTAACATACCTAGATCACCAACTCTCGAATCATATACAATCATTATTTTATGATCACTGTATAATGATCATTTATTGAAGGTTCTGACTTGACTTCAATGGAGGGCATATCAGGGAAGAAACAATTTGATCAGAAGGAATAAATGAAGTAGGATTAGGGGAAAAAAGAGTGAAGTAGGATTATACAGGACCTCGAAGGTTGGGTTAAAATTTTTAGATATGATGTGACAACAGCAAGAAAAAGTGGGCCATGTATTCACAGTGGATTTCGGAGACACTTATGATCAAGTTTAATCTTTTTTTTGGAACCACAAAAACAGACAATCAATGTGAACATCCCTAATGATAAAGGAACTAAAAAGTCTGGACTTTCCTTGTGGAGAGAGGTGAAGTTTTAAGACCACCCTTTACTGAGTTTCAAAATCCAAAATGTCCTCTCCCTTCCTTACCCTTCTGGGTTCCTTTTCATCCAGTTTGCCAGCACCAAGTCCGAGTGTACCAGGATAGGAGGGAGTCCCAAGTTCCTGGAGACTTCCACAAAGGGAATGGCAAGATTTCTTGGCAGCACCTTTCAAATATAAATCCAGACAAATATCACATTCTAGGAAGAACGTGGCAGAGGAAATACCTACGGTTGTCTTTTATTCCAGCAATCCTCTGGTCAAGAAATGATTTGAGGATCACATTTGAATTAGCAGAGTGATCTTTATTCACATGCTTCATGCAGATATCCGTGAACAGTAACTTAGTGGCAGCACTGTTTATGAGTACATACTGCAACATGTATGAAAATTACTAACCT